TGGTATAGCAGTTCACTTTAGTCTGTGCTGAGCATTCACATGTCACAGGAGTTTCGAGTGAGAGCTACCACTCAAGCAGTGGCAAGGCAAGGACCTGCAAGTCTCCGGCTATAAGTAGTCGTATTTGATTGCAATAGGTATTAGATTCGACTCACATGGATCTATAGAAACTCGATACCAGCCATCCCATTTATTCATCTTCTCATGAAACTACAATTTCAAGTCTTCATTTACATATTCTATTTAAACTTGTCGACAGAAAAATCGAACAGAAGAAAAACTTCAGTTGAAATTCTTGGCCTTCTACACTACATAACCACTACCACTACCTCTGCTACTAGCTCATCTATCAACTTCCTCTCTACTTCCCTACCTATGACGTCTATTTCATCTCCAAAATCCATCCACAGCGAGTCCCGTTGCAGCTCTTTCTCCAGATTGTCCTCAATCGCATTCTCTTCTTGGCTTTCTAGCAACTTGCGCAGAACATCTTCAAGTGCACTTTTATTAATCCACTTGGTGTTGAATTTTTTTTTTTTTTTTTTTTTTTTTAGATCAACGGTCCGGGATCCTCACTTTAACGACACCGATATTACTCCCAACTTTATCACATGCTCAATCTATCAGGTGTGAAGTTTTACCACCAAAGGTCTCGGTATTAGTTAGAGTGGGGTAATCCTATTTAAAGTCATTACTTTTCTTTACCCCCACCAATGTGGGACTACTAACATACCCCCTCACCTGTAACCTCATTTAGTGGTTCACACGTGGAGATCCACACATTAGCAATTGAAACTCAGAGATCGACTCCATATGGAGTCCAAACTTGTTTTCAATCTTTTTAGGAAGTAACTCTTAAGAACTTAAAGGCCGGGTCTATGTAGAGTCAAGCTGTTTCCAAGTCCAAACTGTCTGGTGACAAGCCCGTTGGCTTGCATGGGCCTGTAACCATGGCCTCTGATACTATGTTGAATTTTTTTTTTTTTTTTTTTAGATCGACGGACTCAGGGGAGCCCTACTCTAATGACACCGATACTTATCCTCAACTTTTTTTTAGATCGATCGGGCCCAGGGCCCCACTCTAACGACATTAATATTGTTCTCAACTTTACCATACAATCTGTCAGATGTGTGGTTTTAACACAAAATGCTCAGTATTAGTTATAGTGAGATAATTCTATTTAAAGTCATTGTTTTTCTTTACCCCCATCGATGTGAGACTGCTAACACTAAACGATGTAGAGTGAGCCACGTGTATAAGTGTTCATTTTTTCCAGAAAAACTAGTTTATAAATCATCAAATCCTACTAAAAGCATCACTTCACTTCATACTTCTATTGATATATATTTTTTATATATTTATATTTCTGCTGCGTCAACAACATACTACCAAACTTAAACAACGTTGCACTTTATATCGCGTATACATACACTCCAAAGTACGAGTGATGATACTTCTCTTCAAATATTATTAATCATGATAGTGAGATTGAATATTATTAATCAAGATACCCGATTTTGAATATTAATAGTTTCCCTTTGTTTTTCCAGGCCAAAGAGAAAACGAAACCAAGATGCCTGAACTGATGCATTCATTTTATTGATTGGACCTCAAACAGGTGAGCTCACACAATTACTGTATGCCACTAGAACAAGATTGTTGAATTCCCTAAAACGAGAGCATTATCGTATGAATCAGTGATTTTATAGGATCCATAGTATGATATTTTATAGCATAGGTTTAGGTCTGGATATACAAGAACATAATAAAGGCCAAAGTTAAAATGGAGAAATTGAAATGGAGCTATATGATTTCACTGCAAGAAAATTGGACAATAACCACTAGTATTAGTTATACAGAATGTGGTGAGTGAAAACTTTATCAGTGGCTAAGGGGGTGAGTATACCTTTTGCCTACACTGTTAGCCACACATACGTCTTTACCCACCTCATTTTATACACATAATATTTTGGAGCATCTTCAATGTGACGATACAAATTTGAGATGCACAAATTATGTTACTTACCATTTTACTACATTGTTGGAAGGTGTAAATAGGAGTTCTATGACAATAGCAGAGATGCACATTTAGAATCCAATTTCATTTCTCTTTGACTGGCAAGATCCGCACCACCAAAGGATGTAAAAGAAAGATGTAACTTTAGATTTTTTGTTTACATTTTCTAGCCAAAATGGATATTTTACATATCTCCGTATGAGAGTTTTCCAGCCAGCCAAAAACATAAAGTACACATTTCAAGACATTTTGCATCTTCCATTAACAATTTTCTTTAGTGAGATGAAAAAGAATAAATAAATAAGTATATGTGGGCACAGAGTGCATTCATATATATCAGGTAGTCTAAAACTGATGCATTCATTTTAGTGCTGTTAGTGCAGTCATATATATCAGAGCAGCTAAAATTGATGCATTCATTTTTATTGATAATATCTCAAATATCCAGCATAATATTTTATGCTACAAAATGGTAGGAGTTGTTTTGTAGCATAAAAAAGTTTAATTGTCTGATACTTATGTCTCAGGTGGAGCTGCATCATGTCTTTTACCAGGAGCAGATGGTGGGATTATGGTACCCTTTGGCTTCATAACAACATGGAATTCTCCCGATGATATTTTGGGAAAAGGGGTTTGACTCACTCCAACTCTATGCTCTGTAGCTCCTGCATCAGATGGTTGAACTGGAGAGCCTTTTGATAATTCACCAAAACTTGATGGAAATGGATCAAGTGGAGGGTTACCCTTGCTAGGACCAGATGGTGGGATTGGAAGGCCGTTTGATAGGATGTGTCTAGGTATAGCCGATCTTCCGAGCAACTGATTGTGCTTCTCTTTGGTGCCATCTGAGAAGGAAGAGGCAAAGCCTAGGGCTAGCAAAAGGAGCAAGCCAGCCATGAAAAGTTTTGGTAGGATAGTGACAGTCCCATGATAATGCTTCTCTTTCTCTCTCTTTTTTGTTGTTTCTGAACGAAAGTTATGCTATATTGTTGTGCTCATATAAGAGATTTATTTTCCTTATATGGTTTTTTGCAATTTGTATTCTGTTGTATTTGGTGTGTATATTCATATGAATCCATTAAAAAAATTTTCCTTTTGAGGTTTAGCAACTATGGAATTTCACCAACTATATACAACTTATGGAAGGATAGGAGGAAATGATACAACCAACTAGCTTTTAATTTATTTGTACCAGATTCGACTCACTTGAATTTGCGGCGTGTAAAAAATATTAAGACTAACTAACCTTTAGTTTATTGGTACACGTTTCAACTCACTTGAATTACAGCGTATATAAGAAAATATTATAATGAATTGGCCTTTAATTTTCCGCCAAATTCACATCATCAACAACATCATAGCAAATGACAGCATTAAATTATGGTGGCCAGCGGGAAATACAACACAGGGTTTTAGCTTTCGTTGGTATAGCTGCTCACATTAGTTTGTGTTAAGCGTTCACGTGTCACATGAGTTTCGAGTGAAAGTTACCACTCAGGCAGTGGGAAGTAAGGACCCGCAAGTCTTCTACTATAGGTAGTCTTATTTGATTGCAATAGGTATGAAATTCGACTCACATGAATATACAGCAAATTCGATGTACAGTTATAATTGACCCCATTCTGATATGGAGAAAAAAATAAATAAAAAATGAAAAGGTAATTATGTAGTCGATGAACATTCTTTTCTACCCCTATAGTCATACCCACCAACAATTTTTTTCTCTAACAAAGACCATCCCATTTATTCATCTTCTCATGAAACTACAATTTCAAGTCTTCATTTACATATTCTATTTAAACTCGTCGACCAAAAAAACGAACAGAAGAAAAACTTCAGTTGAAATTCTTGGCCTTCTACACTACATAACCACTACCTCTGCTACTAGCTCATCTATCAACTTCCTCTCTACTTCCCCACCTATTACGTCTATTTCATCTCCAAAATCCATCCACAGCGAGTCACGTTGCAGCTCTTTCTCCAGATTGTCCTCACTCGCATTCTCTTCTTGGCTTGCTAGAAACTTGTGAAGATCATCTTCAAGTGCACTTGTATTAATCCACTTGGGACCAATTCTTTTGTTTGCAGGCCTCGCCCATGGGTGTGGATCAGTGAATTGCTCAAACATCTCCAGGAGCCCTGAATTTACTCGGTCAAACAGTAACTTTCTCTCGGGCTTTGGCCAAGAAGTCTGACCGTAGTACTTCTTCTCCAGTTCTTCGAATAGTAAAGGACACATAGGAGATTCTGGAGCGTGACATATTGCCAAGAAGGTAGCCGGACCAGCATTGCTTAAACCAGATTCAGTTAAAATATCGGCCAAGTATACAGATTCCCAGCTCTCTTCATCTTTGCAAAGCCCTCTTGCATCTGAACACGCTGTAGATCCATCACCGTCTTCATCACTCGAGACTTCCATGTGTGGTTCTGATTCCAACTTGAGTAGCTGAAGCTGCATCCGAAGCCCTAGAAACCAAACAAAAAGATGAAAACTAAAGCAAACAAAAGGAATAGGCCAATTAAATAAAGGAATGCACAACACAGCAGGAAGACAAGTAAATCATATTTGTAAGCAAACTCAACACGGATTCAGTTCAAACAAAAATTAACTCCCATCAATGACTAAAGCATATCCTTACCCAATACCTACACTTGAAAATTGCGTGCTTCCTTATGAGTATTTATTATAAAAAATAAAAATCAACTGACTTCTCGCACACGATATATTAATATAAACATAGCAACATTTTACTTGGGTAGCAAGTATCATCTTACTATCAAGGCTTCATCACAATAATCTACATACGAATTAGCACAACATATTCTATGGATACTGGAAGAAGGCAATAGCTTTTTGTAGCACCTACATATTCATAGGGAAACTGACACTAGAAACAAAAGAAATAATAATCAAAATATATGGCCTTGCAATTACCTTGCAGGTCAGCACTGACACTCTCAAAGCATTCAGAACTAGATGACACATCATCACTAAAAGGAACTTCCAGAACTGAAACCGGACTGGGCTGCTCAGCTTCCTTGGAGCTTGCAGGAGATTCGATTCCAGGCACGGAATGGTTAGAGGGGACTGCCTGTTCATCAGGGGGCCTGATTGATGGTTCCTGGAAATTTAATGGAATATTTGAGAGAAATTTTTAATGTTTAATACAAAGCCCTGCTTTCAACTGAGCAGGGAAGGAATTTCAAACACAGAGATGCGACATAGATGCGACATACGTATAAAGTATGATGCATCCACTTGTTCGTATAAATGGTGATAAAATAGAGAACATCCGACAATGAGTAATATGCAACATGCACATGTTTTCAGGAGCATCAAAGATGAAATTATATAAGATTTTTTAAGAGTCAGTTCCTGAAATATCTACAGAAATAGGCCTCCAATAATTCTATATCATTGCAGCACTGATAATATCATACTGCACAAGTAAAAGCCCAGCAGAAAAATTAAACACGCACCTGGGGAATTAGGTTATCTTGGTGACTACCAGAAGAATCACCTTCTGCTGACATATGAGATGATAATTCTGGAAGTAACACATCAGGAGTTTCACAAGGCATGGATGCATCCACATCCACCAAATTTGCATGAAACTGGACTTGTATCCAAAGCATTACGAGGTGGTGACTTAAAGACTGCAACATTCTGCTGGGTTTGATTGTTCCCTTCAAAGTCAGTTCTATCTTTATTCTCAGTAGTATGAGTTTCAGGTGAAATGTCAATAGCTTCCCTACTTAAGGAGTGAGACAAATAAGAAATTTTGTTGCTGGATCTAGACAGTTTATGGCCACCTTCTCTAAGATCAAGATGACCAGTTACTGTGCGGTGTCTTTCGTGCAGGACTGTCTCCTTTGGCATCAGATACTTGTCATCATGTACAGTTTCACACCACATACTTGTTTTAAAACTTGCAAACGCAGTAGATGAAGAAGGAAGAGATTTTGATCTTGATAAACTATTGATGCATCCATCCTTCCAACCATCCTTACTGCTGATACCCAGAGGTCCACCCCACCGTGCAGGTGCATCTTCAGTAGAAAACGTATCTCTGAATCCTGCCTCGCCAATCATGGCATTCAAATTAGCAGCTTGCGTTTCCTCGTCTGGGACAGCAAGCATTTCACCAAGTGTGCTGCCCCTGCTAACAGGTCCCACTTCTTGGGACTTGTGAGTCATCTTCCACCTCTCCGAGAGCCTCTTCTTGGCCTCTCTACTCACGGATGATTCAGTAGAGCATGATGATGAAGGCCTGGAGTGGTTGCTTATGTGAAATGAATGCCTGGAAGACACCGACATCACCTCTGACTCGTTTGCAGATTCATTCTCAGACATGCTACAACAACTCTCATCACCAGCATATCCTTTCAAACCAGAGGAGGAAAGACGCACAGAATTACTGCGAAATTTATTCCTCATTTTCCTTGTGATTTCCTTGGCAACTTCTCTAGATTCTCTGGACTTGTGCCTCAGATGCCCATCATTATCTTGGACATTTTTCCTTCCCCGTGATTCTGCCTCCCTATCTCTAATGCTCGGAAATTCAGTGTGTTTGCTTCCATCTAACATAGAAGAATGAGGAGAACATGGTGATGTTTTGGTAGCATTCAGCACCTTCCCAAGGTTTGGTTTCAGAACAACTATCCTTGTAGGATGAATGGCAGATTCAATTTTCACTTCCGGTCGGCTTACAGATGATTTAGGAGGATTATGACCAGCATGTCTACTGTCAGAATGGCTAGGAAAAGAATCGTGATGCTTCTGCGGAGATTCAGAGCAATGCTTCCGCTCTCTCGCTGATGTGAAACCAAGGTCAATGTTTTCATACTTCTGAGCCTCTGGTGACTTCATAGATGCTATGCGACCACAATGGGATTGAGGAACACCGTGCAGATCATGCAGATGTTTAGCAAACAATGAGTCTGGTTGCTGAAGGAATTTCAATAGAAGATCCTTGTTAGATTCCAGCACCTCAAGCACATCATGGAATTCCTTTGAATCCTGTAGCCTCTCATCAGTTGAAAGGCGTTTTGCATCCATGAACTTCTGTCGAACAAAAGCCATTTCAGCATCACTGAGCTTTGTGTTAGCAGTTCCTCGTGATGAGTAACCCTTTGAAGTTTCATAAACTTCAAACACATCCTTGAATTCTTGCTGCACCCTTGAGTTCTTCCTGGACAAGCGGCGTTCATAAGACATACTTTTTCTGTGCTCTGTCTCTTCCGATCTTGACTTCTGAAAATAATTCTCCGAAATGCCTTTTGGCTGTCTATGAGCAGGCTGCTGAGGTGGCAGCCCATCAAGACCCATCAATTTGGCAATTACGCTTGGTGATCTCCTTCTGGGTTCAATTTCTCTCACCATCTCCTCAGCTAATAACTTCTTTATTGGAGTTCCAACAGCTTGCTGTGAGGATCTCCAGCCCAATTCAAAGGGGAACTGCAACGACAAAATTGACACACTTCATCATGCATGTCACGTTGTAATTATTTTCTGACATGTAATTATTTTCAATACCAATATATATCCAAAGGAGGGGAAAATCTAGAAAAATACAAAGAAAGCGGAATCTACTCTGTTCCAGATATAAAATGAACTGACAAAACAAACAATAAAAATAAAATTAGAAAATTAGAAAAAGCACCCGGAGAACTCAAGTTTTATAGAAAAACACTTCACTAGCTCAATTGGAGAAAACAGAGGAAGCCCCCATCCAAATGAAATCTTTCCCCCATCATCAAGTCAATTGGGTTTATTTTTGTAAACTATTGGTTTCAAAATGTTCTTTCTCTAAAGTGTAATGTTATGAAGGGCTTACACACAACTAGTGAGTAGAAAATGAGATTACCGAGTCGTCACCGGTAGAGCCACTACTGCAAGAACTCAAATCAGAGGCAAATTTCGGAATGTGTTTCTGTTTCTGAACCTGCCTGTTTCCTGAAAACAAAACCCCCAAACAACATCAGGATCAACATTTCAAAGCATGGACAAATTGAGAAGTAAACACTCCATAAAATTTTGCAAGTAATTAGAAATCACCAAATGAATTAGAATCCAACACAGCAAAGTAGATGAAATTTCAACCGTACCCTTTCAATCAACAGAAAAGGGCAACATGGCAATCAATGTCTGGAAAATAGCATGCAGAAAACAGAGGAAGCTTCAATTGTTCCCTTTGACTCATCAAAAAGAAGCAATTGAATTATGTCTCATCATTCCAGTGGAAACAAAGCAAATCATGGCAAAACCACTACAGAAAAAGTCACAAACTTTACCAAATTTACAGATACAACCCCAAAATTAACCTGCATTGCATAAGCATTAGAGTAAACTAAACAAAAACAAAAAAATTAATCAATTAAAATTAGAGTTGCCAATTGGAAATAAATTTTCATCTTTAGTAGATAATTTGATAGAAAAAACTTTGAGAACAATAAAAAACCAGTTACTAAGTTCAGAATTTTGTAATTTTCTTCAAGTGAGCTGAATAATATAGGTTAATCGTTCTGTTTTCGGAACACCGGAGAAAAATAACTACTTTCAGCCAAAATCTGAAATTTTCTCTTCCACTTTTCTTTCATTTTCTCGGCAACCAAACAGGGTCAGAAATTCAGACAAACCACAAAAACTAAAACCCCGAAAAATAAAAAAGTTCCGAAATTCAGAAAATACCAGACCTCTGTAAGCTCGCTCAGCGGAGGAGGCGAGTCGTCCTCCTTCGAAGCTCCTATCAGCAATGCTGGTCACCTTAGACCTCCGAGGCCGCAAGTTCTCCATTTTCATACATTAAAACCCCAAAAATTGAAAATTTAACAAAGCAAAAAAAGGGAAGAAACGGAGATCGGAAACTCCGCAGCGACGCACGCGACGCGAATGTTCCGAGAAAATTACAGAGAGAAAAAAGGGAAAAAAAAACCCCAAATTTCAGCTCCCCATTTTCTGAAGAGAGAATCAGAAAAGAAATAAAAAAGATCTTGAACCGAAAGAGAAAGTGAGAGAAAGCAGCAGAAAACGGAGAGAGAGAGAGTAATAAAGAGGCGTCCGTTACTGAGAACTGCTAGAGAGAGAGAGAGAGAGAGTGGGGTGACTGGGAGTGTGGTGGTGGGTGTGAAGAGAGAGAAAGTGAGGAGACAGAAAGAGAGGGGAGAGAGAGAGAGAGAGAGAGAGAGAGAGAGAGGCAGGGAGAGAGTTCGTTTTTGGGGTTTTGTTTTGTTTTGGGATTTTTGAACTTTCAAATAGCGATATACCGACGGGGGGCTGAGGGTCTGCGCGGGCAAGTTGAGCGTGTGTGACTGTGGATGGACTACAGTAAGGATGGTGTGAGGTGAAACAGACTATGACTCTGCCCATTTTCCAGGCGTCGTTCCTGGGATGTGGCCACGTTACCGTCCTGTTTGGTTCTAATTGCGGGACTTGGATCCTCTCCGAATCCATTGATCCTAATCCAACAAGTCCTATCATTTGGATCATTAAAATTTGATCAAACGGCTAAAGTTATTATAAATTTTAAAGTGGGCCTCTGTTTGTAGCTGTTGGATCAAATTTCAATAGTCCGAATGATGAGACTTGGTGGATTAGGATCAATGGATCCAGAGAGGATCCATGTGGGGGCCTCTTGGCTTCACTCTTTGTTTGCTTGCGTTTTTTTCACAATTTCATGGTGCATCTTACCTTTGATTGAGAAAATTGGGTGTGGTTAGGGTTAAAGAGAGAGCATCTTTGGGTTGTTTGGATTTGCATATTTACAATTGGCTTAGGGTTATTAATATAACCATTTGTATGAATCTGCAATATAGACGTTTGAGCTATTCGGATCATATTTGTCGTTTTCATAACAACTTATTTATAAGTAGCTCTAAACTTGCTCAAATCTTGAATTGTCAGTGCCCGAAATAGCCAAAATGCTACCTTTCTGACATTGATTCACCGTCCTCAGAAGTGGCCAAAATTGAGTCTACTCAACTAAGAGATCTATGTACTTACCTAAGTGACCAATTTGTCAACGTCGCGACCAAAAATAATTTCCAACAACTTTGCACCTCTCAACTTGCCTAAATGATCAAACTATTAGCATTGAAATTTACTAAAATTTGGTCTATTTTGCAACAACACATCTTTGTATTTGTCCAAATGATAAATTTGTCAACATCAACAATGGCAACCACTTGATCTACTTCTCCAACAACAGCACATCTCTCTACTTTCCTAAAAGATCAATTTGTTGGATTCGAGGATGGCTAAAATTTGATTTACTTCTCTAAAAACAACGTATTATTGTACTTGCCTAAATGATACAATTTTGTCGGCGTCGAAAATGGCAAAAACCAAATCTACTTCTCTAACAACAATGTTTCTCTCTACTTACCTAAAATGATTAATTTGTCTGTGTCGAAAAAGGCTAAAATTTCATTCACTTCTCTGACAACAACATACCTTTGTACTTGCCTAAATGATCAATTTTGTCGGCGTCAAAAATGCCAAAAACCTAATCTACTTCTCTAACAACAATATGTCTCTCGACTTACCTAAATATATCAATTTTTCAGTGTCAAAAATGTCTAAAATTTGATTCACTTCTCTTACTTTTTACTTAAAAGATCAATTTGTCAGCCTAAAAAGGACTAAAATTTGGTATACTTTCACCACAACAACATATCTTTTATCCCTCCTGTATTAGCGATCAAGATTTATGTGATATTGAATAATGTCAAATCACATATAGATATCTATGATCCTTGTAATGCATCTCATGTTGAAACAATTCTTACAAACATAACTTGATCCAATTACTCTGGCCAGAGATTTCTAAAATGGATCTAGTGGCTTCGAAGGATATTTCTTTCTATTGAATAGTTACCGTAATGCGATAGATTTCTAATTGCGCATTCATGTATCTTCATACTCATACATATGAACCCATGTATCAAACTATCGAGCCCTATGAAGCAATGAGGGCTTTGAAGTGAAATCAAAGTTCATATTTAAAAGCATAAGATACCTATGAGGCCTTATGTTTGTTTGCATACTATAACCTAAAGCTTTGTAACGTTTGACATGAGGTTAGCATCAATATGTTTAAGATTCTTGGGCAGTCAATGTTTAGTGAACTTGTTCAACAGACAAACACATGTATATACACCATGTATCCAACATGCATAGCACAAGACCATGCTAACCTTAATGTGATATACATCGGCATTTTCAAATAGTCAATATTCATTTGACTTTCCAAACAGCTAGGAACTTTATTGGAGGACTAAGTGATTATGGAATACTAGTCCCCCTGCCTAACTTAGTTTAGGACATTGCTTCCATAACTTAAATCCTATCAACTCATTCATAGTATATGATCTGTATAATATAAAATCAAACTCATGAATGAATAAATCTTGCCTTATTGTGGGGATTGATCACTGGGAAATGTTTTATTCATATTTAGTATCATGTTTGATCTTTGTATGGATGTTTTTTGCAATTGAGATGAGTTGTGTATTTTTTTTCATGGTGTATTACTTAAGCATTGTAACATGAAGAACAACATGAATAGATTGTTGTACTAGTTGTGAGCATTGTACTCTTTTATTTTATGTATAACTAGCATATGGGCACACACAAAGTGTATGAGAAAACTTTTCATTTTTGTTTTTGAAATAGAATGAGAGAGGAAGAGAGTGATAGAGAATGTGGGAGTGAGAAGTTTTTTTTTTAATTAGAAATATGTTAGGATTACGTGTAGGTGAGGTTTTGAAAAAAAAAAAAAGCAAAATTTGATTGTGTGAAATTACATTTTTGCCTCATTTTTCTTATTCATGTTCTATTTTAATTAGAGGGTAAACTGGTAATTTCATAAAATTTTAGTTGACAATGAATGTTTTATTAATTAATAGAGATACAACAATATTATTTACTCTTTTTAAAGGCCTTTCAGCCTTGTGTGTACATATGATATTTTGAAGATTGCACATTTTCGGGATTTGCAACATTAATTTTAACAAAATAAATTTGTACAGTTGGGTGAGTGTAAGGTTTATTAGACGCACTCGTGGAAAAATACCATGCTATTGTCAAACTAACTTGATAAAAATATTTAAATATGTATCACACTCCGATATTGAGTATTCCACCAAACCTGAATTTACATCCTTTATTTTAACAAATAAATTTTTTTTCTACATAGAGGCTTAGGCCATCTCTAACCGAAAGAGGCTCAAAGGGCCATAGTTTAGCCTTATAGCCTTGCAAGAAATTATATTTTAATGAACAGTATCATGTCATATTTTATACCATCTCCAACTGAGGGGGCCAAATGACCATAGGCCAAACATAGTAATTTGACAAAAAACTCATCTCCAACCGAGGGGCCAAGGGGCCAAAGGCCAAACATAACCCTCTCAATAATTTGTTATTTTAATTGAATTAATATTGTTAATTAAATTAAACTACCATATATAAATAAGGTTTTCTGATATATTTTGAGTGTCACTTGCCACAATAACGAAGAAAGTGTGATATTGTTACACCTGCCACAAAGTCAAGTTTGACATTTTGCCATTGGAGGGCTGGTTGGTTGGCTAGAAATGACCAGCCCTCTAGCTTGATTTGTGGGTTTTGGCCTGGTGGGGCCCACAAGCCCTTTGGCCTGGCCTTCGGTTGGAAATGGTTTTCGTGTCAGTTCAAGCTATTTTTAGCCTTATGGCCATTTGGCCATATCAGTTGAAGATGGCCTTATATACTTAGGTCATCTCTAATTGGGGCGGTCATAGGGCTATAGGCCGAAGGATAGCCATTTTTGACACAAAACTCACCTCCAATAGAGGTTAGGCCACAATTTCTTGGGACCCACTAGGAAAAAATCCAGCCATATGGCTAACGGGTTGGCCAACTTTAATCAACCAACTAGCCCCTTTAGTTGGGCCCAACTGGAATTTTTTTTTTTTTTTAAAGACAAAATTAAAAAAAAATTAATTCTAATTTTTTTCCTATAAATACCTAAGACATTTCTACACCATTTCTCACATTATTTTCACTATTCCATACTATCTTACCTCATTTTATTTCAATTCTTCACATTTTATTTACCTCAACACTCTATCAACACACACACTCCTCTCTTACCTCTTCCAATAATCTTTCCTTTAATTTTTTCAATAATTTTCAAATGGCCACATCTTCAAGTGGCACTCAAAATATGTCCGGAGACTTATTCATAGAGACAAGTGACACCTAAAATATGTCCGAAATTTAATATGGTAGTTTAATTCAATTAACCAATAAAATTAAAGAACAAACTTAAAATAATAAATTATTGAGGGGGCTAAAAATAGCCCCTTCGGTTGGAGATCATGTATAAATATAGTCTAACACTGTTCATTAAAATATAATTTCTTGTAGGGCTATAATCTAGACAGGGCTAAACATAACCCCTTCGGTTGGAGATGGCCTTATATTGTTGTGTGCTGGCACAAGCGATTCATCTTTCTTTTTCTTTTCTTTTTTGTACATTTTATTTCCATTTTTTTGATGAATGTGGTTGTATCATCTTTATTATATGTAAAATGACGCAAACCAAACAAAGAGAGGAATCTTTAATTCTCAAAAATTTGAGCTAATTATAAGGATATGGGTACCCATAGTAGGCTGATAATTTCTTGCATGATTCATTAACCTGGTATGAATATAAGTTTATTAGCGTTAAACAATGAAACAAAATTATCAAGACAATTACAAAGCAGAGAACTTCATTGTGACTGACTTATTCACAACTGAATAACAAAGCATCATGTGTATAATAAGCTAACCATGATTCCTAATGAGCAAGAAAATGAAAGCCTAAATGCAATGTGCACGGCCTAAATCTTAAACAATAAAATAAATTTAAATATTATTTTCCAACAAATATTGAATGGATGCAAAAGTCTTAAATATCATTTACAAAAATAAATAAATAAATAAATTTGCATCAATTCGATTGTTACAAGATTCATGGTATGACCCACATCTGTCAACCTAGCACTTGTCGGATCTACTAAAAAATGGAAAAGCTAACTTTCTTCCTAATTAACTAGGATATGGTTTCTTAATGCAGCAGACATGTTATTAATTCATGTAATATAAATTTAGTGAATAACGAGT